AGTGATTACAGAAAGGTCCAAGGTTGTGTAGGTATTATAAGACAGTGATTACAGAAATGTCCAGGGTTGTGTAGATATTATAAGGCAGTGATTACAGAAAGGTCCAAGGTTGTGTAGGTATTATAAGGCAGTGATTACAGAAAGGTCCAAGGTTGTGTAGGTATTATAAGGTAGTGATCACAGAAAGGTCCAAGGTTGTGTAGGTATTATAAGACAGTGATTACAGAAATGTCCAAGGTTGTGTAGATATTATAAGGCAGTGATTACAGAAAGGTCCAAGGTTGTGTAGGTATTATAAGGTAGTGATCACAGAAAGGTCCAGGTTTGTGTGGTTATTAGAAGACAATGATTACAGAAAGGTACAGGGTTGTGTAGGTATTATAAGACAGTGATCATAGAAAGGTCCAGGGTTATGTGATTAATCAGAATTAAATCACCCACATCTGTTCCTCATAATTGCAAATGGTTTGTCTGTTTTTTCTTTCCATTTTAACACGTAGGTTTGATTCTTCCATTTAATCATTTTTATATATTAATATATATATATGTGTGTGTGTGTGTGTGTGTTTGTTTTTATGTTTTTTCTTTATATATGAACATGTAGATTTTCACATCAAACAACATACCAATTAACTCCACCACTAAGAAACACTTACATCTTTAACCAAACCATACATGTAGTGTGATCCTATCTGTCTGTTCGTTTCTATTACAGTTTTGACAGGTTTTTTTTTTCAACTTGATATACACTGGCCTCTATAATATAACAAATTAATTTACCTTTAATATGCTCTTCTTTTATAATGTCAAGTAATCATGTTGTTCCAATTTATTAGAGAAAAATTAAATATAAAGTTATATGCAATGATACGATGTTTCATTAAATTAAGTTAAAATGTGTTTGATAAACATATAAAAACTTAACATTCAAATGATATTCAAACCCTCGTGAAAAAACAATGTTAAATTATTTATGTAAAAAAGGAAATACCGTAATGTATTTTTGTTTTGTTATCCGTTAACTCTCACATCTTTTGCTAACGTCTAACTAATCAAGATCAGTTCAACCGGACACGAAGGTTTTCCCTAGTGATATTGGAGTGTGTTTTCTTACAAGGGCATGAAGATAAGATAAGCCCTCATCTTCTCCCATCGAGAAACACTCCATCGTGTGACCTTGTTATAGAACCTTTTTTTAACAAAATACCAGGTTTCCATTTGAATTATTTCTAGCCTTATTTATTTGGTTACATATTTGTTTGCTTTTTTACTCGTTGTTAAGCGCAAAGATGCACAGTGAGCCCACTACAGGATCGAGCACGGAATTTTAGTGACATGAGCCCTCAAGCTTATCTATTAGAACAGGGGAGAGGCGTTGGCTTCGTAATAGTTAATTATAAATATAGTTTTCCAACTAAACCAGTTTCAAGATTTACTTATTTATTGTTTCATTCAATATATTCGACATATTTTAAGTTTTAGCCGTTGTATTTAAATCCTTTTTTTGATATTATTAGCTTAAATCAATTTTTTAAAGGTTGTAGAATAGACTACACAGTTTAATGATTTTTAATAAAAATGTTTCACAGAATAAATAACAAACTACATAGCACAAAATTTACAAATATGTCATTGAATGGATAACAAGATTACATAACATCAAATTTACAAATACGTCACTGAATGGATAACAAGATTACATAAAACAAAATTTACAAATACGTCACTGAATGGATAACAAGATTACATAGCATCAAATTTACAAACACGTCACTGAATGCATAACAAGATTACATAGCATCAAATTTACAAATACGTCACTGAATGGATAACAAGATTACATAAAACAAAATTTACAAATACGTCACTGAATGGATAACAAGATTACATAGCATCAAATTTACAAACACGTCACTGAATGCATAA